GTCTGGTTACTACCGTTTATGACAGAACCGGTGCCATCATGGCACCAGACACCGTACCCATCCCTACTCATAAGTATATCTGCTCATAACTTCATCCAGCATCTAAATTAATTGTAAAACCTACCAGTCAGAGCCCAACCAGCAGCCCATCACTGGCTGTGTAGTCGTGGACGAGCACAGAGGAGCTCTGTTTGGGTGCAAAGTCCCAGTGCAAACATAACGCTCCATCAGTGCTGTTTCATTTCAGCGTAATGAGTAAGTCAGTGAAGTAGAGAGGAATCAGGTTTGCTCATCACCCTGCTCGGCCCCTTTCTTCTCCCCACGTCGTGTTGCTCTCTTGAAGGCCGGATTTGAGCTTGTTTACCGTAGTCATTATTATGATTGTGTGGAGCAGACTTTGTCAGTCTGCCTCCACATTTAATCAGCTGTGACCTCTTTCATTCACGAAGATGGGCGAGAATAACAACGCGGCTCTGATGTGAAGCTGAAAGCTGCAGGAGCACTGAGATCAAAGTGGGAGGAAGGAGAAAGAAACGAGTCTGTTAACGTTAATCAGGGAGAAGCAGCTCTGTTTTGATGAAGTCGTTTCTGTTTAGGGCGCAGTCGTTTTTCACACGGGGCCAGGTAGGTTTGGATAAATGAAATCCTCTTTTAGAAACGACATGTTGCATTTATTTGTGTTGTCTTTGTCTCATATGTAAACTTGCTCTGTTCATTCAACTGTGACAAACACACAGGAAGGAAAATCTAAGAAATCAGAGAATAGCAAATGACTAAATCACTGAGCACCTTTCAGTTTGGCTTCTTTTAGTTTGCTTCTTACATTATGAGAATTATTTGCATCAAAGTACATTTTTTATGTGACAGAGAGAATCGTATCCATGTTATTACCCCCTCGCCCTCTGTGGCAAGAGGATATAAATAAATGATAAAGAATAAATACAAAGATATTCATGAAGGCAGACCTGCCCTATGAAATCCTGCTTTAGTATCCTGTGTTCCTACTGTAGGCACAGCTGACACAGCAACAATATGTCCGTTACAGTTTTTCTCCATTGGTTTGGCTCATTTCTTGAAACAGAAATTACATTCTCAAAATAACAT